AACAAACACTTTTGTGGTAAGAAATTAGACATCTGGACAAATCCATGGGTGAATTGCTGTGCCCTCAAACGAGCTAATTACTTTGGTCAACAACATCTGCGGTGTCTATTTCGGTAACTTTTGTAAGCATCCTAATGAATGCATAAATGATTTATGGTTCCTTATCTTGAAGAAAAATGTATTCTTTCCAACGGAACCGTGTGCAACAAGAAGAGAAACATACTGTTAGTGGAGAATTTGAATAGATGTCAAACGAAGCAAGTACCTTCTCACCTTATTTAATTTGGTTAGTTATAAGCACTTGTTAATGCAAACCTTGTACCAAGCGAATTGGCCTGAAGAAAATGCTTGTATCCACGCAAGATCGGTTCAAAGTCCAACACAGTTTGTTGTGGTTTCCGAGAACGAAAACTCGGCTGAATTTTGTGCACAATTTCTGCCTTCCAATGGAAATGTTTCTACAGATTTGTATTTTAATGAGCGCATTTTCTTTTCGATGAACTTTTAAACTTGCAAATTGAATGATTTTAGTCGACAATTTGACTGACATCAGATCTGAAAGTGAAGATTTAACCACATAGGATACAGGTTCGCGACTTATTTTACCGACAACCGACACTTTACTCCCATGTATCGAGAAGTGAATCGACATCTAGTTAATTTATGCAGTTGTTGTTCCTACAACCACGTCGGCCACAGTATAATTCTGGCTGATTACAAGTTGTCCTGTTACCCACACACTCAGACTAAACTGAATCAAGTTTTGACACCAAAGTTGGATTTTGCCCCTCCACGACGCGTGCGTTTGTGTGCAGATTAAAACAACTCCGAAATTCTCTTGCCTATGGTGAAAACACTGGCAGCGCATGTTACTTTTTGGCTGTTCGGTGCTCCTACACCATATCGTAGCAATTAATGACTCACGCCTTTAGAGTTTTTCGGATTAGTCATCCCAAGGTGTGTAGTCTAGAGAGTTTCACCACTTTGGTACTTATGAGCCGGACATTAAGATGGCAGAAAGTTGTCTAGGCCGAGGGGTGAATTGTTGGATTCGAGGATATCGTAGCAGATTCATTCAAATCTATCTAGGTTGGGGTCATAAAGAACTCATCGACAACTTCCTTGCTAATTTAGCACGCACTGTAATGCACGTCATGAAACATCGCTCCACTTTTAGTTTATTAAGTAGCACGACATAAACCACGAGGTAAGTATGAGAACATGCAGATCTAGAATGGCACCAAGAAGAAACTATTTTTGATTAATTGAGAAAAATCCCAATTCGTGCTCTATGACTTCGATATTTATTCATCCAAGCTATCAGACTGATGTCAAAACCATCTGATTTTAATAATCCATAGGAAAGCAAATTAAAGGGACTAGTGAATATTCTTATATTTAAAAAAATGATGATTTGCAAATGTTTTGAGTCAGTTCCTAAAAATGTCGAAGACAAGCAAGTGAGGGAAACTGAACTAGGGCGTGCTGACAAAAGCAAGTAATAAGGTGCGAGGGTTAGTGAAATTTGATCAGTTAAAGAGCACAGTGATTCATGCACTCCTGCATGCTTTCAAAACGGTTGTTGTTGCCACCGCATCCGTGGAAGTAGAAGGAACGACAAGTATTGGAACGCGAGTCGTAGTGGTAGCGAATTTGAGGGCTCTTGACCAAACAGCCACCCGCATCCACCTCCTCCATGCATTCACCTGGAACTAAATGTGCGTCGTATTCTGTGCAAAAAAAAGAAAAAACTTCGTTATTTCAGTGCATCCTCGTGTTTTGTACGCCAAGTTTTGGCATCAATCAATCAAAATGTACACTTGAAAGGTTTTACAAAATTACCGAGGCTGGGTGTTGTAGAGCAATTAGGAGCAATGCAATTTACAGTTTATATAATAGACAAATAAAACGAGCACCACAATTCATGTGAGTGAAATTGTTAACAAATTACTAATGCGCGCCGAAAATTGTTTCAAGTACCTGCATTGAATGTAATAAATTGCCTATTAACAGGAACTCAATTAAGTGAACAACTCTCACCAATGATATGTAGTTTTTAATAGATTTTTAAATTCCTGGTTTGTTAATCTAGTTGGCATAATCGTTCATTTGTATGAAATCTTTCCCGTCTGACTTTAAGTACATCGTATTAACGCACTCCAGTGCACCTAATTTAGGATCCACTCATTTTTCCACAATGCAAGGAGCTGAAAAACATCGTAATAATTAAGAGCTAAACAAAATCATGGTGAGTCAAGTCAAGGGGTTTCGTTTTTGCATCCCCATAATTCGGACGCAGTGGATTTTGGAAACGACAAGATAAGTTCAGGGCAAAACATCTGACTACGAAATTAATTCTGACAGTCTTAACTTTTTGATGACGTTTTGAGACATTTCGTACCTACCAAACACATTATTTGGAAATGCTTACAACCTCAGAAAACATTCATTTTATGATATTCAAAGTTAAGCAGGAGACAAGAATTAATTTGGTTAGTTCAGAAAATCAATTCGAGATCATTTTAAGATTAGGATTTTACTCCCCATCATACTTCTTAGATGATCCCCGAAGGATAGGATGAAGAGGTCTCGGACAAACTAGCCTCTTAAGGCCGCAAAAATTTTACAGTAAGCATCCGTACCTGGAGCAATGAGTGCACGACGTGCCCTGCACACCGGCTGGTCAGGGGGGCATTCGAGGTCAAGGTCCTTGCCACGACTCTTGGCGTAGGCCTTGCAGCGATCGTCTCCACGGAGAATACAACGACTGCCAGGGTATCCACAGCGGACGTTCTGTTCGTAAGCAGAAAATCCCAGCATAGATATTTAGGCATTAATAACCTAGGGGTGCTGATGCATTTAGATGTTAGTAACGTCGGCTTTCCTATAAACCGTTGAGCCAAAACTAAAGGATATGACTCTAATGCTTTATTGAAGCGTTAAACTAACATTTAACATGTTCTGTTAAAACGACCTACTTTTTACTGTAATCTACGTGATCTGCTTAACTGTGTCAGTAACCTGTTGTGGTTCGTGTTTACCCACACCTCTTAATCCGGTTGCTCCACCTCCGACACAGAGTTCCCCTTTCCGCATCATGTCGCCAGCCGCGTGGATCCTCAACTCCCCCCTCATTCACACGAATATTTATCTTGGATTATCCTTACACATGGTTCTCGATGTTAGCGCATGCATGACTCACGCATCCGAGGTATAAATACACACGCACAAACCCCACACACGACACAACGACACCAACGTTGTTGAGCCCTGAAGTAAACGGTTGTGTCCACGTTCTCTCGGGTTTTTTTTTCGTCGCGGTTATTGGGGAAACGCAATCAGGCAAGGGCTAATCCCGTGGCCCCGGCGTGGTTCGAGACCACTTGCTGGGGCCCACAACAAACCTATTCCACAATCTTCGGTAGTCCAAGTCTTTCAAGATGCAGGAAATACTTTTACTTTTGTGACCAGTGATGGTAGTTCATTTGAGCCAGTCCTATTTAAAATGTAGTAGGCTGAAGCACAATTATTCGTTTGAAACATTTCCCTATTTAGACTCATTTTGAACCTTCATTAAACTCGCAATTGTTAACCGTCAAATATAAATAGAACATCATCGAAGTGGCTAAATTATCCTAGATCTTTAAAAATGATAGATTCCTTACAGTCCAACTTAGCTTTCATTCAAAAAAATTGCCGCCTAAGTTAAGCATGTGAGCTTTTACTGCCACTCAACTTTACAACAAAGAACGGCATCTAAATTTGGTGCTGCATTCTTACCAGGCACAGATCATCCTGGTCAAAAACACAGAGTGAATCGCAGCTAGCTCTGGAGTAGAACCGATTTGCATTGCCACCGTGGCCAGCATAGGCGAACCACAGGCACCTTCCATCAGCCTGGGAGTAGAACCACGCGGAGAGCTCCTCTGGACCGACACCCCATTTCGGGGAGAGACGACAGGCAGGGTGTCGTGGGTAGTGCCCCAGGTGGTTCACATTGCGTACTGGCCATCGCGACATGCTGAGGTACACGGGATTCGCTCTTCGCATTGCCATTTCGTCTTCCAGAGCATCTTCGCTGGCTTCTTCCGGAAGCTCAAAGTTCTCGGGTGGCGGGATGTACTGACGGGCACCTTGGTGATGATCTCTCATTTCAATAGGCATAAAGGTGTTCGTGGAGGAACAGTTCACTTTACCTGAAAATTAAACGTTTAACAGTATACGACTTGTGGATCAATCAACCCGCAACAAAAGCTTTTCTGCCATTTCAGAATTCATACTTCGCACAGTTTTACAGATAAAGATTGTTATAGCAAATTGGAAGTAATTTTAGATTTATATAACCCAAATACGATCTAGAATTTAAATGAGAGTTTTCTTCATGGAAAACGTCTAAAAAGAATTCGCTGTGCAAGCTCTTACACCTCTCTTGCCACTCACAATATTCATGTATTTTCCCCAATCACTTTTTTTCACAACCATTTGGAAGGCAAAGCCACGCTTTTCAGGCCTTGACGTGCGGTGGAACACAAATACCTTATTCTACGGACACAAAAAGTATTAAAGAAAATCATGTTCTCTAGTCAGCCAATAAGCGTATTATTTCAAGGAGTTTGGAAGCTTCATGGATGATGTCCAACAAAGAATTTTTTCGCCTCAAAATTTAATTTGGTTCGATACTGACATAAATCAACTTTTTGAAACTATTGCCTAAAGGAGCTTTGTAAATTAGGTTCTTTCAATGCACTGATCCCTGGCATGCAGTTGACAAATTTGTGATGAAATGAGCTCTCAAATCGTCAGTAGGTACACTTTGAGAAAGTACGCCAAATTCATAGTAAAATTAGAATTGGTTAAAATTAGCGTCTGCCCAAAAAATCTACCTGTTAGGGTAGGTGTGGCTGGACAAGCTGCGTATGATTTTGAACATCTGCACGCTTATTTCCTTATTTCTGGCATGCTGGGACTCGGTTTTTATGAATTATGAAACGGATTACAGTTGTTCAAGCTTAACAAACCAGTAGTCTGGATTTAGAAAAAATATTACAAACTTTTGGTGCCTATCGTTGTGTTGACAAAATTAATTTTGGTCTGCTAAGACAGCGACGACGAATTAGACTAACCATCGATTTTTAAAAATTACATAAAAAGGCATGAATTAAACTCGCTTAAACAAAAAAATCCATTGACGAAGTTTTTGCTCTCTTAATAATGGTTACATAAAAAAGGCAGATTAGGCCTTTGTAGAGTGAATCAAAAAATTAACCAAAGCATGGATAGCTCCATGTTAAAATTAAGCTTAAACAGTATGAAACTACAGTTACAACAGATTATAACTCACGTCCCAGATAATCGAAACCGCAACCCTCCATTGATTCAGTGTGCGTTTCACGAGGCCATGTGTTGTCACGCTCACGCAGATCTGGGCGTCGGTAGATATTTTGGCTCTCGTACATGCGCTTTCGCCTCTCTTCCTCACGACGATACTCGTCAATTTGACTCATTCGTCGTTCATAGGAGCTAGTAGTGGGCTCATAAGGCTTTGGACGTGGTTGATACTCCTCCCTGAACACGGGTTCGGGTGTGTAGATTAACGGTCTATCCCCTCTACCGTAGTCGTGAGGAACGTTGCCCTGACTTCTTTCAGGTCCTGTAGTATAAGCAACTTCTGGGACGATTTCTGGTTCATAAACAGGTGTCGACGACTCGTGTGGCTTGTTTAGGTCAGGTTCTTCCAGGGTATTTTCATGGCTACTTGAAGTAGTGTATTCCGGCTCGCTAACGTCAGTGGCTTCAATTGGCTCGCGTGGCGTCTCATTTTCTGTGTCAAAGGTGATCTCTTGATCTACGACGTCAATTTTCCTATTTTCATCTTCTGTTGGGGCATCAACAGTGCCGATTTCGCCACGACTCTCATTATATATATCTTCTGATTCAAAATACGCAGGTTGATTGACATCTGTGATTAAATTTACGGGAACGTCTGGTCTAGGCTCAACCATAATATTATCAACCAGGTTTTCCGACGACTCAGACTCAGCATTTGATGGTTCTTTATGCTCCTCCACTTCAAGCGATGATGTCTTTGCCTCTTCAATTGCTGGACCTACAACATTCAGGTCTTAAGCATACAAAGGTGATAAATCGGATGAAATGTTTAAGTCATTTATCTTCTTTTTAGCAGGCATCGCAGCTGAAATTTTGAAGATTTATAACCCGCAGTACACTTAAACTGATTCAAAAACACATTAGCTAATGTTTCTTAATGCAACAAATCTGGTACATTAATTCAACAGGAAGTTTATTCTGTTGAGATTATCAAATAATTATTTTCATTCATAGATGCAAAATAAACCTTCCATCAAAAAGGGTTTTTTTTATTACCTACGCATCTTAGTTTTACAAGACAAAACTTTTCTGCTTGCATTAAATGGACTTCCATTCTAAGGCCAAAGGGTGCAAGATCAAGCCAGAAATGTAAATGGCTGAAACTGTTTGTTTAATAAAGGTTTGTCTGAATGGACTTTGTTATGCATCAAAGAGAAATATTTACCCAGAAGCTTATTTGAAGCAAAGTAATAATACATTCACAGGCAATTAATATAAGTTTACCTGGCTCCAACTCCACAACAGGATGAATTTCGTGATGGGTAATTGCGACTCCTTCATTTTCAACTAAAAGTGCATTAGTTATATTTTAAAATGATCAATAATTGGCTTAGGAATGTGAAATTAGTCTTTATACTTGCCACTTACCTATCTCTGTTCCGATTAGAGGAGCACTCTCTGATTGTTTAAATAAATGTTCTTCATCTACAGTGGTAGGGGCAATTAAGCGTTTATGAAGTGTTTTCAGCTGAAACCGGAGTTTTCAGCCTACATTTTGGTAAGATTGATATTAATATTTAAAAAAATGACCAAAAAATTGAAAATTAATGCTCCTCACCTGATTCAACATTAATTGGCTGCAGAGTCTCAGATTGGCTATTTGAGAATCCATCTTCCTCAGCTAAAAAAAAAGGTATTACAAGTAACATTACAAGTAACCGGTTTAACACTTTCTTGATCGGGTTACACCAAACTGCATTGTTTAATCCCAGAAAATTTAGACGTTCAAATTTTCATGAAAATGCGGTTGGTTAAAATGCCCTGAGCTACTTTGTTAGATATCTAGAGACTTTGAATCAATGCCCTTTCATTGTGCCAAGATTTAAAAAAGAACTTTGTTTCTGGTCAGTACATACCTGACTCTACGTCCGCAGAAGGTTCACCCTCTGATTGCTCAGTCGAGATTTCATTCTCTTCGACTACAATTTAGAGATCATAACATACGTATTTTGAATTAAAGCAAATTCATAAACAGGAGTATTAAGCTAGGTTGAAGCAGCCCATTACTGAACTAAAAGCTTACGCGCTGGTGGTTCATTTACAGGCTCAGGATCTGAGTGTTCAAATGCGTCTCCTGCTTCGGAGGCTGAAAGCCAAATGAAAATTATATATATAATTTCAGCTTTATGCTTTTAAATATCCTGTTATTGTATGCTGGCCTCGTTTCACCTAATTAACGTGTGTTTAACTTCACTTCTACTAACACTCAATAATCCGAGGGCCGAACAGGTTATATCAAGAAAAAAATTGACATGCCAAATTTGAAATTCTGCACTTATTGAAAAACGATACATACTTGGCTCCACATTAACCGGAGGTTCAGGTTTAGAGAGCTCTTGAGAGACTTCATCTTCTCGTGCTAAAACATGAAACGAAATTGGTTTAAGTCAATCCTAACATTTTAATAAGTAGAAGGGCATTTTTTGCTAACTATACTTACCCAACTCTTCTTCTGAGTAAGGCCGATATTCAAGCGGTTCATATAAAAATTCCTCCTCCTCCTCCTCCTCAGCTAGAAATTGGTAAAACACAATTATAAAATTTATAAATCGTGATTTTGCCGTCATCTGCAAAAAATTGTGCTTATCTGAAGAGACAGACTATAAAGGCAATTAATTTTCCTCTTAAGTGGCTCTATTTCGACTTATGGCTCGCTTTCTTCGGCAACTGCAAAAAAGCAGTGTTATTCCAGTATCATTAATGAATGATTAATCATGCTCGTTTTTATTTGCAATCAATCAACTAATAGTTTCACCGATGGCTCACCCAGAGACTAAGTTTAATTTCTTGCCAGTTGCTTTCAAAAATTCAAAAAAATCTCGAATATTTTGTATACTAACATTAATATCATTTATTTATATAAATAAGGTAATGCAGAGATATTAAAATGACCTTTCAAAGTTGTTTTTTCATAATAAAGGATGGTTTCACAAAACCAATATTTACCAGGCTCCGCTAACACTGGTGGCTCGTCGTCTGATTGTTTCAATGAAACTTCTTCCTCTGAACCTTCAAGAAATCAACAAAATCTAATGTTGGCGTAGGAGCATGAACTACACGCATTTAATTAAAACAGTAATTGAAGAATGTTAAAGTGGCTTTTTAAATAATGTTTATAAGCAGTCACTGTATCGATATTTACCTGGCTCTGCTTCCACCGGTGGCTCGTCCTCACTTTGTTTCAGTTCAATTTCTTCCTCTGCACCTTCAAGAATTCAACAAAATCGATGTTTTTGAACCAGTATCAACAGCATTCATGTTTTTGAAGGAAGCAATGCAAGATGGTTTTACAGAATCGATATTTACCTGGCATCGCTTCCATTGGTGGTTTGCCTTCACTTTGTTTAAGTTCGCTCTCTTCCTTTGTTCCTTCAAGAGTTCAAAAGAAATGGATTTTTTGTATGCCAGTATTAATTACATTCATTTAGTCAAATAAAATAACTGCAGAACGTTAATATAATCTTTTAAAATCATTTTTTGTAAAGAATTAGTAAATCAATATTTACTTGGGTCTGCTTCCATAGGCAGCTCGTCGTCGGATTGTTTAAGTGAAACTTCTTCCTCTTTATCTTCAAAATTTCAAAAATTAATGCTTGTAGTATAAACTACACTCAAGTATTTAAAAGCAGTAATTGGGAAATATTAAAATGACCTCCTAAATAGCGTCTTTAAAAGTATCATTGAATCACTATTTACCTGGCTCCGCTTCCGCCGGTGGCTCGGCCTCACTTTGTTTAAGTTCATTTTCTTCTGTGCACTCAAGAATTTAGTAAACTCGGATTTCTGTATAACAGCATTAATTATATTCATTTATTCAAATATATTTGCTGTGGAATGTCAATATTACCTTTCAAAATCATTTTTGTAGAATAATTAATGGACAGTATTAGTAAATTAATATTTACCTGGCTCCTCTACCACTGGTGGCTCGTCGTCGGATTGATTAAGGGAAACTTGCTCCTCTTTATCTTCAAATTTTAAAAAAAATTGTGTTGGCACAGGAATATGAAATACGCTCATTTGTTTAAACACAGTAACTGGGGAATATTGTAAGAACCCTCTAAATAACGTTTTTAAAAATAATCACTTAATAAGTATTTACCTGGCTCCACTTCCACAGTTGGTTCGTCCGCAGTTTGCTTAGCTTCAATGTCTTCCTGTGTACCTTCAAGAATTCAACAATATCTTTTTTTTAAAACTGATATCAACAGCATTCGTGTATTTAAATGAAGTAATGCATAAATAATAAAATGACCATTCAAAATGGTGTAGTTTTAAATAATCCCAAGACGGCTTTCCAGAATCTATATTTACCTGGCTCTGCTTCCACCGGTGGCTCGTCCTCATTTTGTTTAAGTTCAATTTCTTCCTTTGTATCTTCAAGAATGCAACAAATTCGAAATTTTTGTATGCTATTATTAATTATATTCATTTATTCAAATAATTGCGGAATGTCAATATAACATTTCGAAAAATATTTTTGTGTAATAATCAATTGACAATATTAGTAAATCTATATTTACCTGGTTCCGCTTCCGCCGGTGGCTCGTCATCGGATTGTTCTAGTGAAACTTGCTCCCCTTTGTCTTCAAAATTTCAAAAAAAAATTTTTTTGCAGTTTGAACTGCACTCGTTTATATAAAAACAGTAATTGGAGAATGTTAAAATGACTTTCTGAATGAAGTCTTTAAAATTATTACTTTATCAATACTTACCTGGCTCCACTTCCACAGGTGATTCGGTCTCAGATTGTGTAAGTTCAATTTCGTCTTCTTTACCTTCAAGAATTTAATAAATTCAAATCTTGTTTACCACTATTAACAACACCCATTATTTAAATTAAGTAATGCGGAGATGTTAAAATGGCACTAACCTGGCTCTGCTTCTACTGCAGCACCAGCGTCTGACTGAGTTAGAGAGGTGTCATCGGCTTTTTCTAAAAAGAAGTGAAAAATAGCAACTTGAAATAATTAAGAAATATGGCCTTAATTAATATTTATTTATCAATAATTTATTTTAGTTGCCACTTGGTGTCTCCTCTTTGATCGGTGATTCATCTTCTGAGTGGCTACCAAGCATTCCCTTGTCATTGTCTGGTAAGTATTAAATAGTAAAATATGTATAGTACTCATGACTATCAAAGATGCAGAATTCAAATTTAATATCTCATTTTTTTAATTCAAAACCAGGTGTTCCGAGTTTTCAGATGCAAGTATTTTGTCAGGTTTGTTTAGTCATTTAAATCGTTTGCGATTAACCGATTGAAATGGCCAAAGAAGTCGTCCTGCCAATAAAAAAACAAATAAACATGTAAAAAACTACCTGATTCATATTCGACGGTGGCCTCCTTCACGGGTTGTTCCACTTGAAAGTCTTCCTCATTTTCAACTACAATATCGTGCAAAACAAATTGTCATTTTTATGCTGTTGCAAGGATGTTTACCATTGTGCTGATTTTGGCTTCAATGGTGATCTTCATCACTAAAGATTAAACTTTTATCACAATCCTGGTTAAAATTAAATACTAAGACATACTACTAATTGAATATTACGAACAAGTAAAGCGACACTGTTTAAGTAGTCTCCCATCTTGATTTCAGCCAAAATTATTGTCCATTGCGAGAATACAGTACGTTGTGCCGGCCGTTACCTTTACTAAGTAGTCGTGTGCATTTGCAATTCAATAAATGGTAATCTGTAGAACCAACAATAATAATTGTGATTAACACACACATTTTATACCTAACACTACTTCAAGGGTAACAGACTAAACACAGAAGGCATTCCAGTTGAATAATTTATGTTCGGAATGAGGAAAAACGAACATACTTGACTGTGTAGGGAGGCCAGTGGTAGTCAGAAAAGCAAATAGAAGCTAAAATGCAAGTAGTTTGGTTGAAAAAACAGAATTGTTTTGGTTGGTTGGTGGCATTAGATATTTAGAAAAAATTTCAAGTACTGGCATCTTGCACTTTGAAAGTTCTTGTGACGTGTCAAGGCAGAACTGGGCTTCTACGTCAGTAGCCAATCAAGCCGTGTCACGTGACACTGAGGCGTCAGAGGCAAAAAATCATTTAGTGCGTAAGGTAGATTTCCTATTGCTGTAAATCTTCGCCTAACATGCTAAGATTTAAAATTTTCGGATTGATAAGTTAAAAGGTTCCTTACCAAAACTAGAACTGATTTGTACATCATAACGGGTCCTTGTCAGTTCACCCTTAAACCAAAAGAAATTGATTTTTTTTAAAATTGCACCGTAAGGTTATATTGAATTCAATTTGGCAAAGTAGCGGTACCGCTGCGATGAAGGTTCAATACAACGTTAGAGTTTATGGGGTACTAAATCAGCTTTACAATCAGGCAAATTGTATTTGGCCGCCTGCTTTCGGGCTGACAGCTCCAGCAATATGCTGAACTTCGGTTACCTTAAGTGTTCCACCACGCCAACCAAAAATATGTTGAGGAGATGGAGAAAACATAAGAGCTTGTCTCTCATTACGACTGAAACATCTGAATCACAAGCACTGACCTAGAGACAGACACCAATTAATCTGTCTCGAATTTGCACTTTAATTATACAGTTAAACATGAAGTAGGATGGTTATCGCTACTATGTAGATTTCAGGCCACTCGGTATTTGTGCTAGGCCTGAATTTGATTAAATGTGCAAAATAATAAGGAGTCAAATGACCAATTAATTTAAAACGGTTATCGACATAAATATTTTTCGATTTGAATACGGCATTTCAGTTAAGAAAGTAGTTTTTGAGCCATTTGACTAATGGATTTTGGTACGTTTTGTACGGCTTTTGTACGTTTGTAAAAGTCCTTCCCGCCAAAATCACGATACCCAGTTTGCAAAATTATTGTCCCTTTGGCAGCTAAGCCCACGAACTTTGATTGGCCGGGGTAAATAGGTGGCTGTCCAATTAATTTATCTAACAAGAATCAGGTCACTTAATGATTCATCGCTGCGTGGGCGTCAGGATGTGCAGTTGCACGTGACCTCAATTGGAAGTATTCGTAACCTCATGGACGCCTAACCCCAAGGCCCAGTTGCTTGCCATTTGACGTCAGACGCGTCCTTTCAGGGGCTGTTCGCTTCCGAAACGAATTGCGAAAGTGGTAGGCTAAACGCATGTCCCGACTGCCCACGCCTGGCGTCCAGACGCTAAAAACTTTGGCTCGTGACAGTTGTATGTCGGGGTTCGCTTTTGCAGACATGGTCAAAGGCAACTCTAAAAAGTCAACTCATCATGGCATATGACGTTATACATTTTCCCAAGATTTGCTGTTTCGTTTTCTAGTGGCTTAAAAGCAATTATCGCGAATGTACTCGCCTACACAGCGGAAGTGGAAGAAAAATGGCGATTAGGACTAAGATGTAAGATTTATTCTGGTGATATTACATTTTGTGCTCCTAAAAATACCACAAATTCCTGCGAAATAGAAGTGCCTGCTTTTAATCACTTGGTTAACCTGGTCTGGAACAGAAGACTCGATCACAAAACCACTGAAACTACCGTGCAATAAGAACAGCTAGCTAGTTAACTTGACGTAACATGTTTGCCTTGCCAACCCAATGTTTTTCTTTTCATCAAAACGCGATAAATTCAGTTATCCAAATGCATTATTTGAGAAACAATGTGGATTTATTTCCTTTTGCCACAAAAGTACTTCGTATTTCAAATCCATTTACAGAAAACTGGATTTACGTGAACAGATTTACAATTAGATTTAGCTACTGCGGGATTGGATTGTTTGTTTCACGGCTCTGTGGCTAAGTCGGTACACTGGGAACTGCTAAGCTTCTTTTCAGGTTCAAGTAATTGCCCATTTGCAGCACAATGCCCTGTGTCAGTTCCAAGGAACAGTTGATTTATCGTATTCGTATGTATTGTGAAGTCGAGAACATTTGCTGCCGGTACAATGTTTCCCATACCTGACTAATTGCTAATTGTTTCACAAAATGTGTGTAGGTAGCCGACTCTCTTATGCTAACATACACTCGCTATGGGCACGATTTCCCTCGAAAATTCATGCTTTGACGCTTTAAGTTTAAATGACTTTCTGTAAGTATCACAACTTAGAGTTTCTTTGAATCAAAATTACAACCAGCTTATTTACTGGCGGTAATTTGATCAGTTAGTCGGTCCAAAACTATCCAATTATTTGATGCCTCTACCATGGTTTATTTAACAGAAATTGTGCATTTGTTGTGTGAATTAATTCATGATTAATAAACTACATTTTAAACTTCTGAAATCATAAAAATTCTTCCAAGAAATAGTTTTGTTACATCTAGTCTTGTGTCGGAAATTGGCACCAATGTTGCCTCTACCACAAACACAAGTGTTTTGTTATAAATTGGTGAACAATTTCCGCTGGTCAAATTTGTCCGCTGCCTTAAAAATTACTAGTTATTATTCCAACCAGAAAAAAAGTTTGATTAAGAAAAGAAATTAAATTTACTGTGCCATGGTAAATGAGGTTAAATAAAGACCCTCAATTGATGAGAACACCATCTCCTGCTCATAAACTGGTTACATTTCGAGAGAAGCTTGAAATTATAAAACACAGGCTATCGATATGTATGGACTAAATTCTGGTTGTAAGGATATGAACATGTAAGTTGAAATGACTACGCCAATACAGCCTATAAACAAACATGAAGACAGCACAATCAAATCCACACTAATGAAGACCATACCAATGAACTCTATATTAAAATCACAGATGAAGTGGTTCAGTAAAGCCACGAGGCACCGGCAAGGAACTTACCAGTAAAGGAACCGAGTTCGTCTGTTACCAAACCTGTCAAGAAGTCTTGAAGTTCATGCAGCAGCATAAAGCCCTGACCTCATTGGCCAGGAGCTATCAATTTGTCAGCCCCGATTGGTCGCCCTCTAATGAGGTTATTTCCGCCCTGTCCAACCTACATAAACGCAAACAAACACGCACAACACACACACACAAATATAAGTGAATATCGCCATGCTTGCGTGCATATCGTAATTGTGCTTTGGTCTCTCGATCGTGGGACTTGTTTATTAAATCCACCAAGTCACGCAGATTAAATTGCCTATGTCCTGGTTCCCTAGGGTAGGTCATATCAAAGGTTCTGTAATCTGGTTTTCATAAACAAGTGGCCTAACTAAAGTACCTACCCTAATTCAGTTCAGCACAAAGTCCAGTCTGCGCTTTCCCAAGTCCTTATTGTTTACTATTGGGACATATTACCTTCGGTTATGTATTTGTCGGAAGTTTTTTGTTCAAACGCAATCAGTATAAGGATTTAAGGCGTTTCTCTAGTCTCGTAAATATTTAAAAAACTCCGGAATCTAGTGAGCATTATACTTCAGCATGGATTGGACAAGCTTAGAATCTTCTTGTATGCATCCTGGTTTTAAGTCCTAGGTCAAGGAAACGAGTTCATTAAAGCCTGGTTACGAGGTGTTGATGCACGAAGAGAAAGAAGATGATTAGGCGACTGAAACCTTCACTACGTAGCTAAAATATTGCGCTATCTAAGTACGTTCGCAACTGTTTATGACTTGCTTATTTACGCAGGGTGAAATACAATGTCCTTAACTGGAATATTTTCGAAATCAGAAGAATGCAGTCGATTGGTTGCGTAGATGGTCTAGTGCACAGGGTGATCTTTTAAAACCGGTACTAACAAACACGTCGTTTGATCCTCCTGAGATCAAGTTGACTTGAATGCATCAAAAAATTAACCTACAAAGCTGCGAGCCTTAATTAAACGTTTAAACTTAGTGATTTCATAAATTTGTGTCTGCTTTTCAACGGTGGCTGAAATCTGCGTAGTGGGCCAAAGTCACCTTCGAAGAGGCTTATCTGGGTTAATTCACGTAATGTGGTTATTGTTTAAATGAAAAAATAAACTTCGCACTTGTTCTACGTTATGTTATGCTAGTTTAAAAAGGGACAGCACGTTAAAACTTCAACAAAAATATCCAATTTGTGTATTTGACTGAAGCTTCGTCTCTTACATTAGTTAAGAGGTTTTTGGTCGATTTCTGCACGATAAATTTTTATGTGGTAATGACACTGTCCGAGATTCAGTGAATAACAATAATCCAGGGATTACCACTGATGAGATTACTAAGAGACTAAATGGTGACAACACTAGTTTATTTAAACGTTGAAGCCAAATTGCAATTACTTCAAAACTCGACAGAAGGGCTCCGTAAGTTTTCTTGGTTATTTCTCCCTTTGCTCATCAGTAATAAGAACTTTTCGAGTATTGGAGAGGAAAGGTAAATAGAAAAAGAAGTTGACAGTAATAAAAGTGAAATAGCAGAATCGATGGCATAAGCTGTGTTTCTTCTTCCAATAAACGTGCTTCCATGTATCTGGTGGTGGTGCGAATCACCCAACATCAATATTTAAATCCAATCAAGACTCCCGAATTTGCTCAATCAACAATTCATCACCTTACTTCATGACAGTGCTGGAGCACAAGTCGCTCGATAACCACTTTAGGAAAGTGGGCAGTTATAGTGGAAAATTATGCAGAATTTATTGTATTCCCCCAGCCTTTCCTCTTCGGATTTTCACCTGTTTCGTTCCCCGCAAAATAAGTCGAATTGAAGAATTTGGCTGTGGTAGAAGTCACACTGCCTTACAACATTCTTTGTAGCAAAATCAAGCTATTTGCGTAGTGAAGCAACTTGAATCTTGCAAAATGTAAGGTGTCGCTTATTGCAAATGATGCAAAGTACATGAGTGATTCCTTGTTTGAATTTTCTTCTGAAATGCTTTGCATTTAATATGGTTTCAAATCGGACATGAACAGTTGCAGAAAAAACCTCAATACTTCTAGTTAAGACAGACACTTCGGTCGGTATTCACTGAGAATGTCGCCAAGTCAGCTAAATGGGTGCCATGTTTAGTGTTACTATATTTGTCAGCGTAGGTTCCGGATGCTATAAAAACGAATGCATGTAGACATCCTTAGTAACCGACAAAAGATGGCCTAAGTAAAACGTAGAATTTAATTAATTTTTGTCAAAAGGTCTTCCAGTTTTTAATTTGCAACAAAAGAATGTTCGTGTGATAAATGAGTTTTGTCAAAACTGCACTTTCGTCCTTATCGCGTTTGTAAACACTCGATCTGATAAGAGGCCAAGTTTTATTAGCTATGCGCAAAAACAACTCATGCAAATAAATCTACAATTTCACGACATTTTTTCGAATATTGAGGCCATAAAATACGTGGCGAAATGTCAGCTAGCCTCAGAGGCCATTCTAAACAATAAAGTGCAAAAGACAAAGTTGTTAGTTTCTAGAGGAAATTCATCCAATTCTTGTTTAGACAATCATTCATCACGCAACAGTAAGCATCTGGTAAGTTTTTCCTTGCCAAATATTCATATATGATAAATAATTAGCAAACTGACATTGGTAGATTCTCACTTTGTGTTTATTTTAAGACTGGTGATCCAGCAGTGATTGTTACCCTACTGTGAAATGATAGGACTGCAGTTGTAGAATTGACAGTTGACCACTCAGGTGGGTGATTCGCTTGGATAGATTTGTTTTTTTGGTTTCTGCGAACAACTGTTAGGATTCTTCGCTTATCAACCTTGCAAGGTCATGTGGTGCAGTTTGTGCGCTGTGGCTGACAATCGCCTTAGGAGAAACGAGGTCATAAGTTTGCGCGCTTATTCGAAAAGAAATTGTCAAAAAAACTAAAGTTTGGTATACTAAAAACATTTAGCTGTTTTTTTATAAAGCGTAAATTAAAATCCATTTGCATTCTACTAGCTATTAAACCAGTTGTCATGCGTTATTTTAACAGAACCGTGTGGAATAATGTGGCAGTGTTTTGGGTATTTCT